CCAAGAACTCAACTTTCAAATAAAATAACAGCAGCCAAGATCTTAGCAAGTCAAAATAAAAAATTGAAAAATATAAAGTTAATCAAACCCATTTGATTTATTTATTTTTTGGCCGAAAACTCAACTTTCAAATAAAATAACACCAACCAAGATCTTAGCAAGTCAAAATAAAAAATTGAAAAATATAAAGTTATTCAAACCAATTTGATTTAAATTATATATAGTTATAAATGTTATGTATTTAATATAGGGAAATGTTTTTTAAGATCCTTCATATTCAAATTTTATAGCATAAAGGACATGAAATATTTTCATAATAGTTGAGACCCCTCAAATTTTTATAGAGAAATTTCAATCCAGAGAAATTTCAAAATATAGAGAAATTTGTCTTAAATTTCTCTGTGTTTAGACCAATTTTGTCTGATTTGCTCACAAATTTTTTCTGTGTTTTGAACAAACTAGAGAAAATTATAGAGAAAATTAAGCTACTCACAAACCAATTTTTCTATAATTTTTACAAGAAAACATCATGCTAAGTTCATCAAAGAACTTAAAATTACAGTTTAAAAAACAGCAAATGGATTCAAAGAAATGTGCTTCAATATGTTGTAGTGGAGGCCTAGCCGGCGCGAATTAAGCGGCAATGAGGAGCAGTCATGTCCAAGAACCTCAAGAAACTTGTCTTCCTTGGCCTTCTTAATGCAGAGATCATGCAAAAGATCATGGATGCAACAAGTTTTTATGGTCCCATCAAACCTCCTCTTAGAAGCTTAGATCAAATTCCTAGCAATAAAATCCTCCAAATAATCCTCCCCAACCTCTTCCATGGTTTCTCCATCTTTTTTCTCCACAAACCCTCAGCAATCCACAACCTAACCAATTGCCTTGCAGGGATCTCAAAATCTTTCGGGAAAAGCCCGAAATACAGGAAGCATGGCCTCAAGTGATGGGGTAAATTGTCATAACTCAGTTCCAACATTCGATCAGTGTGTTCGGTAACTAATGAACTCAAGTGATGGGATAAGTGTCATGCAGTGTGAGTTCATTAGTTACCGAACACACTGATCGAATGTTGGAACCGAGTTATGACAATTTACCCCATCACTTGAGGCCATGCTTCCTGTATTTCGGGCTTTTCCCGAAAGATTTTGAGATTCCTACAAGGCAATTGGTTAGGTTGTGGATTGCTGAGGGGTTTGTGGAGAAAAAAGACGGAGAAACCATGGAAGAGATTGGGGAGGATTATTTGGAGGATTTTATTGCTAGGAATTTGATCCAAGTTTCTAAGAGGAGGTTTGATAGGACCATAAAACTTGTTGCATCCATGATCTTTTGCATGATCTCTGCATTAAGAAGGCCAAGGAAGACAAGTTTCTTCAGGTTCTTGGACATGACTTCTTCTCATTGCTGCTTAATTCGCGCCGGCTACGCCTCCACTCCAACATATTGAAGCATATTTCTTCGAATCCATCTGCAACGAAACTAGCCAAAGAAAATCAAGTAAGGCACAGAGAAAAAGAGAATCCAATGCTTTTAGAGAAAATTAACCTAAAGGGGATACCTTAGTTTCAGAGAAAATTCATTTCAAAGGAAAAATTATATACAAGGAGACAACTAATTAGTGAGAGTTTAATGTTTTAAGGGAAAATTCAAATGCCAGAAAAAATTCAACCCACTAACTAGTGAAAATCAAACAAACAACACAAATTAGCGAGAGTTTAATGTAATCAGAGAAAATTAAAATCCCAGAAAAAATTGGAAAGAAAATCAAAAAGACAACTAACCATAGAAAATCAAGCAAGGCATATGGAGTAAAGTGAATCTAATGTATTCAGAGAAAATTGTGATGTCAGAGAAAATTCATCTGAAGGGAAAAATTACACACAATGAGACAACTAACCAGTAAAAATCAAACAAACAACATAATTTGATGGGTCATGGAAAATTCAGATGTCAGAGAAAATCAATCAAGGTACATAAGTTAATATGATTATAATTGTAGTCAAAGAAAATTCAAATTCTACAGAAAATTCATCACATGAAGTAAACTAACTAGTGAAATCAAACAAGCAACATAAGTTGAAATGTCAGACAAAATTCATCTCAATCAAACTAATGACAAAGAAATTGCAGAGAAATTCATCTCAACCAAACAACTAGTTTCAACAAGATCAAACAAGCACAATTCCAATCCCAAACCCAAACCGAAACCCAACCACAATCTAAAATTTATGTCACCCATGAACCAAAGGCACAACCACAATCTAAAATTTATGTGTCACCCATTAACCAAAGGCACCTTACATCAATCAAAATCATATGATCCTAATAGTCGTAGTAATTGGTGGTCTTTCTTTATTGAAATTTCAAATAAAAAATACAGAGACAGAAAATAGGTATGAGTAAATATATATAGAGGAAGAGAGAGAGAATACAGAGACAGAATAGAGAGAAGAAATGGAAGAGAGAGAGAGAGAGAGAGAGAGAGGGATTTGGTATATATATATATATAGAGAGAGAGAGAGAGGGAGAGAGAGAGAGAGAGAGATACATGTGGATGAAGGTCCTCAAATTATAAAAAATATTGTGAATTCCTTCCATTATTAAATGTTAAAGATGAATATTTGACTAATTTTGCCTAATAATAGTGATAAGTACGGTGAAAATGAAGTTGATAATGGAAATACCATCCCTCTCCATTTTCTTATGGGGACGAAAAAAATTCATATAAACCGAAACGGGGAAAGCGGGGATGATGTATATCGTCATGAGAAATTATTCAATACTCCCGGAGCACCACGTGTCCATACTCCAAACCAATCACCAATCAGTTAGCCCCATGTTGTCCTTCCATCTCCAACATAAATCGTGAGCCCTTGTGTCTCTCCACCAATCAAAACATTATGGAGCACCACGTGTCCATACTCCTGGAGTACTGAATAATCACTCATATCGCCATAATGAGTCCCAACAAAATGAAGAAATTGAGAGACTCGGACAAAGAGGTTAGAAAATCAAAACATGATCATTACACTATGCAGATGACATATTTAAAATTTGAGTATCTCTTCTGATTTGAAACATATTTGCTATAATTATACTAATATTCCTTTTTAATAAGATGCAAATAATCGAAATTAATGCAAATAGTGCATAAATACTTAAGTAAATGAAAATAAATAAATAAATATATATATATTTTAATAAAAAAATATGACAATATTATTTTCTCATTCATATTTATGTAAATTAAAACCTTAAGATAGTTCAATGTACTCATGTCAAAAGAAAAATATTAATTGTATTTTTCTTAAACTTTAAAAAATATGGGTAAAATTTACCCTTAAAATTTTTATACAAAATATATATATTCTCTTAAAACTACGAATCTCATGTAATCCAATCTAACAAAACAAACATGACAATTGTGTCACCACCTAATCGATTCTATATTCAAAAAATATTAAGAGTGAAGAACCTTATCGCATTAAATATACAAAATGGTGGGTTAAAAAAATAACTAATAAATAAAAAAATGAAATAAAAACTAGTAATAAGCACCTTAGGAAGCACAAGTTACAAATTTAAATCACATGAAATGCTTGACTGTCATTATGCTGTGTTTGATTCATGAATAAATTCATAAATCAAACACAATCTTAGAACCACCCAAAAGTTTGTCCGATATGTATGAAACAGAATATTTCATATACCCAAGGAACTAATTGGGAACCTTGTTGGTAAAGAAAATATTACTAGAAAAGCAAGAAAAAGTACTCTAAGGCCCTATCTGGTTTAATTTTAAAATTATAATTTGAATGTGAAGTTATAATTTAAATATAAAATTGTAAGTTAAATTTTGAAAAGTAAAAATTTATTTGATTATAAATTTTTGGAAGAGTTTTGAAATGTGTTTTAAAAAGAATTTTTTAATTTTGAATTTTGAGAATTGCTTTGATTTTTTTTTTTTTTTAAATTAAATTGTATTGAGTTTTGAATTTTTAAATTTTAAGTCATATTTTGAAATTTTTGAGATTTATTTTTTTAAAATGTTTAAGAAAATTTTATTTTTTATTTTAACTATATAATTTTTATTTAAATTTTTTTATTTTAAATTTTTTATTTTATTTTGTAAATATTTTAATTTTTTTAATAATTTAAGCTCAAAACATAACTTCACACTCAAATCGTAACCAATCACATAATTCAAAACTGAATTCAAAAACTATTTTCAAACTTATAACCAAACACATAACTCAAAATTTCGTACTCAAATCGTAATCAAACACATAGCTAAAAAATTAAAATATTTAAAATAAAATCATTTGTTTAAAATATTTTGAATAAATTACAAATACACCCCCTGAAGTTTGCTTAAAATACAAATTGTCCCTGTGGTTTGAAAAATTATATTTCACCCCCTTGAACCACATGAGACAATCTGTATTTTAAGCAAACCTCAAAATGTATTTATAATTTACCCAAATATTTTTCAAAAAATACAACATACAAATATATGAAATACAGTACATATTAAAATAAATAAATAAATATTTAAAATATAAAATATTTACTCTAAAAAATTAAATTAATTTTTTTTTTAAACATTTAAAAATAAATAAATTCAAAAAGTTTCAAAATATAACTTAAAACACAAAATACAACTCAAAACTCTTTTCAAAACTCAACTCAAAACTCATAACTCAAAACACGACTTCACACTCAAATAATGATTTTAAAAATAATTTTAAAAAATAAAATACAAAATATTTTTTTAATTTTTTTTTAAACACAATTTTGAAAAAATAATTAATTTTTTTTTTAAATACAATTTTGAAAGGAATTTAGTTTTGAGTTTAAAAAAAAAAATTAAATTGAGTTTTGAATTATATGTTTAATTATGAGTTTTAAAAAGAGTTAGAAAATTTTTAATTGGAATTACAATTACAAAACAAAACCAAAGGCTGCCTTAATTTTCCTGCTCAGCATTCCTCATTCCATTACTGAAAATTTCTCATTTTTCTTCTTAGCAATTTTCATTCCACCTCAAAAGCAAGGAAAATGTACCTCAGTTTTCCTTTTCTACAAGTCACAATACAACATCAAAAAGTAAAAGAGGAAATAGAGCCTAAATAGACAAAAAGCAAATCTGAACCATTCAGAGCCCACTCCACCCAAGGCAATGGTGGCTGGGAATTTCAACAAAGACGAGAAGCAACCATACCTGAACCGCACAGGCAATGTTTTCCACTTCCACCTCAAGACAAATAATTTACAAACGCAAATAATAATAATAAATGTTTGGTTTTAAGTTTTCATCACCACCCTTTTAGCTCTATTGAATTCAAGAAACCCATAAATATCATCATTTTGGCCTGCAACATAATCTCGTCAACGGAACTTTTGCCTGGCATGTGAGAGAGAAAGAGAGATATCAGGGGAGAAAATTGTAGATTGCTTCCAGATACATTCCTAGTTGTAGTAGTATATGGTTACACTAAAATTGTAATCACCCTTTTGGTAGTAGAACAATTAAATAACTATTATTTCATTTCTTCTTTTGGAGTATGGTTGGTCAGGATTGTGTATCACTCTAAAATTAACAGGAAAGATTCGACCAGGTAAGTAAGTTACAGTGGGATAATTAGGATTTAAAATTTCACACCTCAGAGAGAGAGAGAGAGATCTAAAATTTCATATTTCACGGATTTACCTCAGCATCATCATAGTCATAACGAACCACAAAGATGCACTTGCAGCCCGTTGCATCGTGTACTCTCCTCTGGATTTGTACAATGTATGCGTCACAGTATATAGCAAGATCCTCATTTTCCTGGAAGTAACAAAATAAAAAATATTATACTGCTCCTGAAAAGCTTGGGGCCACTTTGGCGAGTTAGACGCTGATGTAAGGTGCCGATGCAAGGCGTTGATGTAACATCACAATTGGATTACACAAAAAGAGAAGGGAATATTCTTTTATCAACCTTTTTTCAACGTTAATATATGGAAAAACATACCCGGAAGCATAGCACAAGATCTCCAACCTTGACCTGATGACACTCTGAAGGTTCTAAAGGAATAGAACGCTCACGGATTCCCCTTTTTACGTTGACCCACTCATCTTCCTCGTAACGAAATCCTGCAAATCGTACACGAACTTCCTGTAGTATCAACAACAGTTAGTACATAAACTCCGTAGATGGGATTTTAGAGTAGCAGCAATTGAGTTGCATGCGATGTCTTACTATGAGAAATGAGAGGAATGATCATGTGATACGTTGTCCCATGCATACTGGGAGTTCCTAATCCCATGCACGCATTTTGCTTCTACTAGTATTTGAGGTTACCTTTCTTCTATATCTTTATCATTTTCTTTTCTTTTTTCTTCTTTTTTTGTCAATAGGTAAGAGAGCAAGTACAAACATGAGAAGTATTACATCAAACTATACTACTGAAGTCCAATAACTCGAAAGCCAACAATCACTAAGCCCATTAACCACCACAAGAAATAGTCCATACTACATACGACCCCCATAATGGGGGACAACCAAACACTACAAAGCAAATCAAATTCCTGTCCATAGGAATTTAACCCACAATTTCACACCACCAAGTGGTTACATAACAACTAGACCAAGACCCTGGTTCATGGTTACCTTTCCATCTTTTGGAAATTCTTACTCAAAATGATACACAGTATGGATGTAATAAAATAAAACAAAAGATGATATATATTCAATTGGAAAAGGCAATGTTGTGAATGTAATTCATGTAATGATGAGATTACATAATTAATTGGAGAGAATAGAGAACAGATCCAAAAACCAAGATTTATAGTGGTTCAAGTAACCCAACCTACACCCACTCCCAAATGCTATTTACACTATTCTTCAAATAGCTTTACACCAGCTAGCTCGCCTTGCCGCTAACCAATCTTTATGTCGAGTGTTCTGTCCCAAAAACACTCAAATAGAACACTGTTTTCCGACTAAAAAATAGAGCACCTAAAACCACAAGCCCACTCTAGTGTTTTTCCAACAATAAATGACAAAGGTTCAACAACCCTTCTACAAATGATTTGGAAGAGTAAATTCTCTCGACAATTATTAAAATAACTCCAAATGAATGAATAAAACAATTGAAACTCACAGACAAGAAGGATATGGAAGTATGGGAAATTTATTAGATAGTCGTGGACTATGAAGCACATTCACGAATACCGACACGGGACACGGCGATTTCAAAAAAATAGGAACACGGACACAGACACGGACTCGGACACGACAGGAGACATGGCAAATTTTATATATATACATATATATTTGTTATGTAAATTAATATTATATTACCAAACATTCAAAATTAATAAATATACATATATGTATATCACTATATTTATATTTACAAAGGTAAAAGAAAAATATAGAAATTAAAAAGTATATTAGAATATTTATAAATATAGAAAAGGCAGGTGTAAAGAAAAATATAAAATATATAAATATAAAAAAAATAAAAATAAAGTGAGACAGATCAGAAATGATAAAAAATAAAAAAGGAAGAGAGAAGAGATACATGAAAGGTGAGAGAGAGAGAGAGAGACAATCAATCGATCGATAGAGAGGCGAGACAGAGAGAGTCGATCGAGAGGCAAGAGAGAGATAGAGAGACGATCGATGGAGAGGCGAGACAAAAGAGAAATGATCAACGATCGAGAGGCGAGAGAGAGACGATCGATCGAGAGGCGAGAGATAGACTTACCTGACTAAGGTCACGAAGCTGCATGTCCAACGAACCAGGTAACCAACTTCTTCTTCCTCTTCTTCATCTTCTTCTTCTTCTGTTCTAAATTTTTTATTTAAGGCTTTGATTTCTAAACTCTATTTGCGTGATGGCATGTCCCCGGCGTGTCCCACACCCAAAAAAAGGACACGGCAAATGGGGTGTCCCCAACGTTCATACTTCTGGCAAATGAGAAACTACAACCCACACTAAGTGAGTCATCCCTTTTCTCCCAACTACTTAACAAAGGTGAATGACTCCCACCCGTAAGATTTCCTACTTAAGTCATTAGTTTGGACCACCAAGTAGGCAATAATTACTCGGAAGTTAGGGCACAGTAATCTTGAACGTTCCTGATGAGTTTTACATATAATGCTCAAACTCTTCAAATAGATGAGTGAAAATTTTGTATTTACTACTTGATAAATGCACTTTTATCAATTGAAATAGACATTGAATCCTTTAAGTTTTTGAAATTTAACACAAAGTGGTTGACTCAATCGTGATGGAGTCAACTCTACTAAATTTTGGGAGCACAATCTGGGCATAAAAGACAATTATCTCACTTGCAAACATATCTAGGATATGTAACTTGGAGTCAACTCTATCTTAGACCGGAGTCAGCTCCATCTCACTACAGTGCGATTGCAACCTTCTCTTTAGTTTTGCGTCAACTCTTCTACAGCATGGAGTCCACTCTTGCCTTTCCAATGCAGGAGAGAATCTATTAGCTGCATGTGTTTGGGGTTAACTCTTTCTGATGTGGGTGTCGACCAAAAATCCCAGATTTTGAGATTTTCAGTTGACATACAATTCAACTCCTTCCAAAACCAAATTTAACTCAAATATATTACTCGCAGTCATAGTTGTCAAATCGTGAATCGTATCATAAATCGAATCGAGAATCATTAAGATTCTGCACAAACTCTAAAAAACAATGTTAAACAATTGTATATATGAAAAGAATGAAACAAAATGATTTTGGCATGTCAGAAAGTAGTTCTTATATAAGAACACGATTACTTTAATTGGGAACACATTGACTTTAGATTAAGAGATGTCTGTCCAAATCCCACCAACTATAAAATTATTCAACAGCAATAATATAAATTCTCTTGACATTTAAAAAAATGCAACTATGAACCCCATATAGAGTACAATAAGAAAAAAGAATGACGTAAAAATTTTCTATTTTAAAACCTAAAACACTTTAAAAGGAGTGTATAGCATCATACATAGAGTATAATAAGAAGGAATTAAGCGAATATATATTTTTAAACCTAAAACACTTTGCAAGTATGGTAATTGTTCAAAGAAATCTAAAAGAAGAAGTGGTATCATTGATCTGACTAACTTGACTCGTGTAATGTTGAACCGTAATTATTTCACCAAAATAGCAACAGATAATGGATGGGTGTAAGTTACTTTAACTTCCGGTATCTTTAGAAAATGTAGTATAACATTTTGGGAGGAAAAAAAAAATTAAGAACATGTTAGGTCTGACTAGATCTGATTGGATCATATTACTATCTCTAATCACCAAAATAATAAATCATGTATAAGTATTTGTTATTTTTGTACTAAACACTCTTAGAAGCTGTATTATGTCATTTTCGCTAAAACAAAATAGGTAAAAAGCGATTAGAATATGTCAGGTATGATAGTTTCAACAATTGGATGAATACTAAAAGGTGAAACGAATTATGAAACGACATAGATTCTATCACATAATAGATTCACTCATAGATTTGTTCGATTTTTGAAAAATTGCGAATCAAATAGTGAATTGAATAGCGAATCGTAAAGTTTTGATAACAGTGCTAGCAGACATGGATGATTCAGCCTCAAGGGACATATCCAGAAAAAGCAGTTAGTTTTAAACCAAGTGAGCAATAAGGCAAGAAGGAAGACAATCTGAAAGTACATCCTTGTTATGTACTCATTGTCGGTAACTCATGGCTTTATAGGCGATGCAAATTAGGTGTGGATATATTGCACGATGTGATGGAGGTTAAGCATGCTCATAGAGTGATTAAAAATGCTAGTCCAATGCAACTAGATAGATCTAGCGTATATGAGATGTTCGCTTTGAGTTAATGTCCCTATGCTGGCTACTAGTGAGTTTATAGAGTGCACAATGCAAATTCTCTTAGTGCTTACACAATTTATTGGCTAGTGTGAGTTGATCCAGATGTTTGAGCAAATTTGAGTTAAACATGTCATGTCGATGCATGGTCGAGTGAGAGATGCTAGATATGGGGTCGAGCTAAGAAGTAAAAACACTTCTAAGAAGGTTTTTGTGTGTCCATATTTGTGTTTATTATGTCCATGTCCGTCAGTGTCCGAAACCAACACTCATTGGACACTTCTTGACATATATCGGACACATAAGAAACACATATTAAGTTTGAACAAAATAACTACAAATACAATGATAAAAGAAAGGCAACATAAATTTCCATCTATTAATCTAATACCTCTTTAAACTACAGGAATTAGCATTATGTTGTATTTGTTATTATTATCTTTGAATGAAATATGATATATAATAAAATTATAAAATCATATATTCTGTGTCTCCCACCTTTCGTATCCTGCCTTTTTTTTGAAATTGAAATGCCGGAGTGTCTCTATCATTTCATGTCGTATGGCCATAGGACCCAAATTTGAGTGCCCAAGGTGGCATGACCGGTTACCTAGTTGAGGTCTGATGGATTTGAATCTCACCCAACTTAACGTGGTTACATCCTAATCCAATTAAATTTGGTTAGTCGGGCACCTATATACGTTGTATCATTAGACCATTCTATGTATTTCTAAGAACACTCCTCACAGTCGTACAGATATTCAGATATTCATATCTCTTGCCAGTGATGAATGCTGAAAAGCCTTTGCACTTTGGATAGTGTGGGCAAAGCCACTTGTGTGGTATTACTCCACTAGAATGAGATTCTTGTTCATGAATTTACTTTTCTTTTCTTTTTTGTGATAAATTTTAGATAGCATGGCTATTATGATACAAACACCGGAGTGGACTCGCTCTTGAAAATTGGCTTTTCTTGTTCATGATTTTCAGAGCACACAATACTCTGTTCACCCTGGCATTGGGGAACTAGGGGGGCTGTGGCCCCTCCAAAGATGCTGAAAATGCTATCAATTTGCAAGGGTTTTTCTTCATAGTTTGTAAAATGTAAAAGCATGGCCCTACAAAATCAGTTTTCCAATTACCTCCATAACATATTTTATACAATATAATTTATATGTATACATATTTTAGGAAGAATTTTACAGCACAATACTTTTTTGGATGTGTAATGTACATTTAGTTATTACCATTTCTAAAAAATCAACTCTAATTTTACTCACAATGACATGATAGGTTTACATGTTAACTTCTGACTTGTTGCAAACTCAATTATATAAAGCCCAATTCTCTTGTCATATCATTGACTAAATTTTGAGTTTTAAATTTTGAGTTGGTAGCATTCATCTTATCTAAATGATATTTGATTTTGACATGTTTTGGCCTGAAGTGGTTGTATAACTTAATATTAATTGAGAATTTTATTAGAAGATTTAATGATATTTTTTATTAAAAAAAAAAATTCATGCTTATAAAAATCTATCTATTACTATAACTTGCATATAATACTTTTGCTATGACTTAAATAATTGAAATTTTATTGTCAATTTTAAAAACATACAATTTGCAAAAATCAACTCTAATTTTACTCACAATGACATGATAGGTTTACATGTTAACTTCTGACTTGTTGCAAACTCAATTATATAAAGCCCAATTCTCGTCATATCATTGACTGAATTTTGAGTTTTAAATTTTGAGTTGGTAGCATTCATCTTATCTAAATGATATTTGATTTTAACATGTTTTGGCCTGAAGTGGTTGTATAACTTAATATTAATTGAGAATTTTATTAGAAGATTTAATGATATTTTTTATTAAAAAAAAAATTCATGCTTATAAAAATCTCTCTATTACTATAACTTGCATATAATACTTTTGCTATGACTTAAATAATTGAAATTTTATTGTCAATTTTAAAAAACATTACAATGTGCAACAACCGCCCCCCCCCCCCTTTTCAGTCTTAGGCCAAGTTTGGCATACACAAAATAATCCATCTTTTATCTTTTTTTTCATCATCACTCTCAACTTTTCTGCACATCTTTTCGTAAAAAGACAAAAAGTGCACTTATTTAGGTCATCCCAAACAACTCCTAAGTCTAATTCCTACATCCGCCACTGCGTTCATTGGTTTTTGAATTTGTGTGCATGAGGTAAGCGAGAATACTTGTTTACAGATATGGGTAGGATTGTTGATTAACAAGCACAAGCACCAGTCAACCTCTGGCCAACCAGTTAGGCCAATGTTGTGCCAAAATAAGGCCGACAGTGTGTGTAATGATGAGTGCACATATCCTGAAGGATGGTAAATTTCTTTTTCTCTCCAACCAGACAGAAAAAAGTATCTACTGAAGCTTGAATAATCAGCTTAGGGTATGATGAGATATTACCCCTTATTTATAAATGAAGATTAGGGTTTACAAACAAGACAATTACAAGATGATCCCTGAGGGCATAACAATGATTACAGACCCTAGTGCCTTTCGGCTAATAAAATACTAAGTGACTTTCGGTGATTATAATATGCCAACATCTACTTCCCCAAAGCCATGGCTCAGCACGTGGTCCACCTGAGCTAGCCCAACTACAACCACAAAGCCAAATGCTCCAAGCATTAAAAGAGGATGAGAGTCTGAACCAAAATCAGGCCACTCCTATACCTCAAGGTAAGTAAACCAGGGCATATGCACATAGCAGGCTTATAGAGAGCCTGAGGCTACATTCATGCCAAGATCTGCTACTTGGCACAAACCAGTGTACACTATTAATCATTGCCAACATTGCAGGAGCAATTTAAGAATACAGCCAGCTCAATTTCATTGCACAATGCTTCAACTACAACTGATACAAGCCCAGGAACAAACTACCAATACATTAGCAAAACCAGCCATCATTCGAAAAGATTCTATTAAGATTGAAAATGTTAGTTCAGATCAATCTAAAGAACAAGAGGTGAGAAAAAATCACAAATGGAGACAAAAGGAAAATCATTGTAAGAACTCATTCACTTTGCTTGTTTTTGGTTTTCCAAAAACACTTTTCAGAAAATTCTACTTTCTTGTTTTTCGTGTTTTTTTTTTTAACTGAATTTTTTTAATATTTTAAGCAATTTTTTTAATTTTTACACATACCTAACATAAATACACATAAAAAGTATAATTTTTGTAAAAAAAAAAAACTTTTAAAAATTCACTAAATACCAAAAAATAAATAAATAAAAATAAAAAAATGAGAATTTAGTATTTTTTTTGTATTTTTATGTATTTATTAATTTTTTTAAATATTTTTTCACAAATTTTTTACTTTTTAGATGCATCTAAGTAAAGTGCATCTAAAAAAGTAAAAAAAATTAAAATTAAAATTTTAAAAATATTCACTAAAAACAAAAACAAAAAAATACGAAAACCAAAAACTCAGTTTTCAAAAAACTCAAACCAAACACACAGATTACTTTTCTTTTTTTTTTTTCCTAGCAAACAAACTATTTGTAAGAAAACAACTTGCACCAAAAGCAATAATGCATTCTTAAAATCATATATCAATATCTAAATTCAAGGATCATACCAGTTCTCCTGAACTAACAATTCTGTAGTTGAGGAACGAAGCAACATCATACCTGGGAAGCCAAGAAAGTTAGCAGTTGGTGTTAGTTTGATTTTGAAAAATTACTAATCAAGATCAAAGGTAGATTTTTCTGTTGATGCCTGTAAGCTGATATCTAAAACAAAATCCTAACATGTCTAACAAATGGATATTTATCAATTATCATTATAATCTAAATAGGGATGAAGACTAATGTTACCATGAGGTTATAGCGTGGAATGCTTTGAGCTCCAACTGTCCAACATGAAGGATGGTGACCTCAAGAAAATTATTAAGGGAAAGCTTTGCCCAAAAGAAATGCAATAGAGTTCTGAAAAAATATCGGTGGGCATCTAAATAAATTTTAACTTATTGATGGAAAGAAGAATTTAAATCCACCAAGAATGTTAAGTCAAACTAGCTTGTGTAGTCCTATGTCCACTAGGTATTACAGAAATCTACAAACACCAGGTACTGCAGTTATTTTATGGGCCTTGAACTGTATATAAGTGAAGCTATGGAGTGCATACACTGGATATAATTATCTTGGTTACCGAAAAAATAAATGACAACCACAAGTCTAGATAATCAATAAATTATTTTAATTAGTAAAGCAAAGGCATGCTTAAACTATTTTATCTTTCATAAAAGCTTTAGTAGAAAATAAGAGAGAATAGAATTTTGAAAGTAGTATGAGGCCTTCAACTACGGCTTTTTTTTCTGTTGAATGATTGAATCAAGGATCACTTTAGCATTGCATTTCCTCTCCCAGTATATTAAAGTTCAATCTTATTGCCCTTGATTGGTATGGTCCAACCCCAGGCCAAAAACATCTCCTTAACTGTTCTTTCATCTTGCCACTCTTAAGTCCATTTCTAGGATGGACTCTGCTAGCCACAGCCCAATGGGGTGTTGGTTATGGATCAAATAATGCAAAAAATAAAATAAAATAAAAAATATAACGGTAATACACATCTTACATGTTTTATTTATTGTTAAATATTTTTATACATTTTTTACATATTTCAATACATTTTTTACATATATCCCAACTTTAGCATTTCCCTTCTAGTATTCATACTGGCATCCTATTTTTGACTTGCCTTGACACTTGTTTGTCCTGAAATTATCACTTGAATAGTGCTTGTTTCAAACTCATGATGTTTTTTGGATAATCAACATTTCAAAGCATAAAGAGAAGATTAGCACTGATCGTGCGCAAGAATGACACAAGCATATTGAGATAAAGCATCTACATTCCAATGTATTTTGACTTTTCCTGCCACTTATCTGTTGTGAAATTATCAACATATTTCAATACATTTTTTACATATATCCCAACTTTAGCATTTCCCTTCTAGTATTCATATTGGCATCCTATTTTTGACTTGCCTTGACACTTGTTTGTCCTGAAATTATCACTTGAATAGTGCTTGTTTCAAACTCATGATGTTTTTTGGATAATCAACATTTCAAAGCATAAAGAGAAGATTAGCACTGATCGTGCGCAAGAATGACACAAGCATATTGAGATAAAGCATCTACATTCCAATGTATTTTGACTTTTCCTGCCACTTATCTGTTGTGAAATTATCAACATATTTCAATACATTTTTTACATATATTCCAACTTTAGCATTTCCCTTCTAGTATTCATACTGGCATCCTATTTTTGACTTGCCTTGACACTTATTTGTCCTGAAATTATCACTTGAATAGTGCTTGTTTCAAACTCATGATGTTTTTTGGATAATCAACATTTCAAAGCATAAAGAGAAGATTAGCACTGATCGTGCGCAAGAATGACACAAGCATATTGAGATAAAGCATCTACATTCCAATGTATTTTGACTTTTCCTGCCACTTATCTGTTGTGAAATTATCAACATATTTCAATACATTTTTTACATATATCCCAACTTTAGCATTTCCCTTCTAGTATTCATATTGGCATCCTATTTTTGACTTGCCTTGACACTTGTTTGTCCTGAAATTATCACTTGAATAGTGCTTGTTTCATACTCATGATGTTTTTTGGATAATCAACATTTCAAAGCATAAAGAGAAGATTAGCACTGATCATGCGCAAGAATGACACAAGCATATTGAGATAAAGCATCTATATTCCAATGTATTTTGACTTTTCCTGCCACTTATCTGTTGTGAAATTATCAACATATTTCAATACATTTTTTACATATATCCCAACTTTAGCATTTCCCTTCTAGTATTCATATTGGCATCCTATTTTTGACTTGCCTTGACACTTGTTTGTCCTGAAATTATCACTTGAATAGTGCTTGTTTCATACTCATGATGTTTTTTGGATAATCAACATTTCAAAGCATAAAGAGAAGATTAGCACTGATCATGCGCAAGAATGACACAAGCATATTGAGATAAAGCATCTATATTCCAATGTATTTTGACTTTTCCTGCCACTTATCTGTTGTGAAATTATCAACATATTTCAATACATTTTTTACATATATTCCAACTTTAGCATTTCCCTTCTAGTATCTTAAACTATTTTATCTTTCATAAAAGCTTTAGTAGAAAATAAGAGAGAATAGAATTTTGAAAGCAGTATGAGGCCTTCAACTACGGCTTTTTTTTCTGTTGAATGATTGAATCAAGGATCACTTTAGCATTGCATTTCCTCTCCCAGTATATTAAAGTTCAATCTTATTGCCCTTCATTGGTATGGTCCAACCCCAGGCCAAAAACATCTCCTTAACTGTTCTTTCATCTTGCCACTCTTAAGTCCATTTCTAGAATGGACTCTGCTAGCCACAGCCCAATGGGGTGTTGGTTATGGATCAAATAATGCAAAAAATAAAATAAAATAAAAAATATAATGGTAATACACATCTTACATGTTTTATATATTGTTAAATATCTTTATACATTTTTACATATTTCAATACATTTTTTACATATATCCCAACTTTAGCATTTCCCTTCTAGTATTCATACTGGCATCCTATTTTTGACTTGCCTTGACACTTGTTTGTCCTGAAATTATCACTTGAATAGTGCTTGTTTCAAACTCATGATGTTTTTTGGATAATCAACATTTCAAAGCATAAAGAGAAGATTAGCACTGATCATGCGCAAGAATGACACAAGCATATTGAGATAAAGCATCTATATTCCAATGTATTTTGACTTTTCCTGCCACTTATCTGTTGTGAAATTATCAACTTAATAGTGCTCGTTTCATACAAATGATATTTCTTGGATATTCATTGTTTGAAGAGTAAAAACATGTTTCCTCGCATATGCAATCTTAAATCTCTCCCCTTCATTTTAATCAGCATACATCAATTGCACATAGCATGCTTCACAAGTTTGATAGTCTGATAGTTGGTCCAAATATATCATTCATCCAAAGAGTGCCTGTAATGCTTCTCCGATACACTTTTCGATCTAACAAAAATACTAACTAATACTAATAATTTTTGCATCCTACTTCCCTAAAGTTTCTCTTACTCCAAATAATATAATTATGTGAAGTTATCCATGACATCTAAGCTCAGTAGTATCATTTAGCCACCTTGTACCCAAATACCCTAGTCTCTATTGTCTAAATTTTTAAAATCAAATCTCCACATTTCTCTAAGGGGATTATCTCTTACTGGATCTGAAGTCAGATTACCAGTCCAGTGATTAAATTCCAGCTTCATCATCAAACATAAGATTATAATTAGTAGGAACCCTTCAAGAAAGATGTCTTAGAAGGCTAATGAGTATGATCATCAATGGCATCTAGTCTGATCAAACCTGAAACAAAATAGTTTATTTATGACATGAAAAGGAGGTTTAACGGCCCGAGGAAATTTACCCTTCAGCATCTTTTCCATGCTCTTAATTTACAACGCTGCTGCAGATGCCCCCGATTAGAGTAACCGGACCTGGAAACCCAATTAGTATTGTGTGTTGGGCACGAAGTGTTTGAAGAAAGGGATGAAAATGGGATGTATAAATTACAGTTGATTATTTTGAACATAGTTCAATGGGTTGATACTTGATACTGTAATTAATGGGTTATAGAATGGAAATAAGTTATTTTTCTCTAGCTTAAGTACTTAACTATAACTGTGTCGGGCACTCTAAACAGAATTGTGATGTCTTCTCTTTTAAGTAATACATCTAATCTTTTCCCCCAAGAAAGATCTTCATGAATCTCATTTACTAGGGAGTTCGGACATCCAACAGAACTGCATAACAAATAAGAGGCGCAGCAAATAACCAGAGTGACTTAGATGATCTCAGCACTTTATTTCATAAATTTTATCTCAAGCATTGCGAGAATATGATCACTTTAAATTCCAAGTAAGCAATTTACAAGTGCTTCAAATGCTAAGCAAGATCTATTTTACAATTTCCAAATACACAAGAAGCATAAACTACTGTGTTAACTGAGTGCTAAATGAAAGCTCACCAAGCCCAATCCTTTGCTGATTTAGCTTCAAATACCAACTCTGAAAGACCTGCAATCCTTTCAGCTGCAGAAGAATTAATGTCAGAAGACTAAGTAAGGCATGCAAGTTTTTCAACTGTAGAACTGTACAAAGATTCTGCTATAGATATACATCACAACATGGTATTTTAGGCTCATAACTTATGACTTTATAGAACGGATAGAAATGAAGAGGGTACATGTATTATATACAACCCCAAATGTGGCTGAATTATTTAGTGATAGAACTTGTCCATGATCCCAGATGTTCCCTGAGTATGGAATAAAAAACGGAGAAAACAGATGCAGAAGCCTAGGAAGACAAACTAATTAACTGCTAGACACATTCTTGGAGAACAATTGAATTGAGGGTCGGGAGAAGAACTGGCCATTCAATTTTGTAAACTGGTTAAGGCTGCTGAAATTGGAGCTAAATACAACAGTGTGAAAACTAATTGAATTAAACTTCCCATATAAAAGGAAATAACAATCCCTGAGCAGTAGATGGATGACTATAAAAGGGTTTATCAAAACTGTAGACAACATAAGCTTTCATAGCAAAACTAAACTCTTGGCAGCTAAAGAGCTGAGCACTAAATTTTTTCATGCGAGGGTCACAGGATGAAGAAAGAGTTTATCTAAGCATAGAAGTTCCAAATGTTTTGCTCTTAACCAAAATCAGCAAAAACAGTGAGAAACTAGAAAATAAATTAAAGCTTGCAGAAATTCAGGCAAAAGAAGATAGAAAGATCATAAAACTTAACTCAAAATGAGCGGAGTCTGCTAGAAATTAGACTAAGTTAGTGTTTGATAAAACTGAAAATTGAACACGAAAAGCTAAAAATTAAGTACTGAGTGCTGAATTTTTAAAATTGAAAAGGTGTTTGATAAAAATTTAAGTGATGAACTAAAATAAAGTGTTTGATATGTACAGTTGAATTTTGTAATAAGGTAATTAGGAATATAGAGAGATAATAGAGACAGAAAAGAGAAAAGCAAGAGCACAAGGGTTTAACGTGGTTCTTCCAATATTAGCCTACATCCACACACACAAAGCCCTAGGGGGCTATAGTTTTCATTCACACAACACGATACTCTTGTTTACATGATACATCAAATATATAGAGTGGGAGATAAAATTGAATCCCTTCAGTTAAGAAATTGAAATAAATCAATGATACAAAAGAATCATAATATGCACAAATAATGGATCTCCATGTATTCTGATATCTTCAGATATTTTTAATAATATAATCTTATTTTCAACACTCTCCCTCAAGTTAGAACACATAATGGTTGAAGTAAAATGTCCAACTTGAACTCGAAAATAGGATGATCATTACAAACAACTACGATGAAGTTGTCGAAAGACAACAACAATTGTAATATCTCTCTTCAATGAGAACTTAAAGAACATATGCAAGGAATCAACATCTTGTAACAGAAAAACATGCATGGAATCAATCATGACGGCAGCAAGAGAAACCAACCGAGATAGAGAAAGCAACAAGGTCGAAGCAATGGCAAATCACTACAAACAGAATGGCCGAAAAAAAACAGCATCCTACAAAGAATGCTATCAAACACTATGTTAGCTGGAGCGTGGATCCTTCTGGTACATGGAACATGTACGAGGGACGCCACATACTCTAAAATATGATATGATAGAGGTAGACTTAAATATATTACACTTAAGAATTTAAGGTACTTCTAAAGTAATTTTCTTTTAACTTTTGATTTTTTGTCTTGTCAAAACTTAAGTCACCTTAGATTTTAGTTCATTATATTTGATTATTTCCTCCTAAGGTAACATTTAAGGAAATATATTGAAAAAAACTTTGGGATCGCTTCGGATCACTAAATTTACTATTTTGGAACAAAAGTGCATCATGTTTTGGAACATACGTACCAATACGTAATTCGCTAGTGTATTAGCATTTTCTGGTTACACAAATCAAACACACATGTAGCCCAAAAACTAAAAGGAACCAAATATGTTCTTACCACATCAAAACAGGAACCCTAAAAGGGTAGAGAAGTAGCCGAAAAACTCAGCATATCACAGAATAATGCTACCGAACACACCAGCAGCCCCAAAACAAGTAAACATCACAAAGTTTGTTTACCACATCAGCAAACTAGCGGTCAACACAAGGAAGAGGGAAAAAGACCTTTATAACCAAAAAAAAAAAATGTGAAGTGAGGAAGCACTCTATAGAGAAACATGGCTAGGGTATGATAGGCTCTGATACCAAGTTGAATTTTGTAATAAGGCAATAAGGAGTATGGAGAAATAATAGAAACAGAAAAGAGAAAAGCGAGAACACAAAGGTTTAACGTGGTTCCACCAATATTAGCCTATATCCACACACAAAGCCCTAGGGGGCTACAGCTTTCATTCACACAACTTCATTGTTTACATGATACACCATATATATAGAGTAGGAGATACAATCAAATCCTTTCAATTAAAGAAATTGAAATAATCAATGATACAAAAGAATCATAATATGCACAAATCATGGGATCTCCATATATTCTAATATTTTCCATATCTTTATCTTTTGATATTTTTGACAATATAATCTTATTTCCAACAACGTACAAGAAGAATTTGAAATTTAGTACTTTCAAACTATATTTTTCAATTTTTATATTGTGATGTTGAGATGGAGGTGGAGGTGGAGGTGGAGGTGGAGGTGGCGGTGGCAATGACTATGGCGCTAATGGAAATAGTGGTGGAGATAGAGGGATAGTGGTTGTGGTGATAGTGGAGGGGCAATGTGGTTAAGGTAAAAAAGAGTTGGCGGTGGTAGTGTAATAATAACAGTGGTGATTGGGGTGGTAGAATAATGATGGTGGTTAAGGTAACAGTGGCAATGGTTGTGAAGGTGAAGGGTTGTAGCAGTTGTTATAGTAATAGTGGTAACGGCAGTGGTAACGGCAGTGGTGACTGTAGTAGTGGTAGTGAAATGATAGTGGTGCCTATGACAGCAATCACCATTCTAAGACAACAATCACAATAGTGATGGACGTTGTGGCGGTGGAGGGGCGGTGGCAGTGATGATGGCAATAGTTGTAGTTGTGATGTGATGGTGGTGGTGGTAGTGGTGGCGGATGTAGCAGTAGTGATGGCAGCAATGGTGAGGTTATAACTGTGTATGTCGAGAGAGGGCAAAATGCATGGCAGCAGTGGTGAGTCATGAGGCTCCCACAAGAGCAAGTTTAGAGAAGGCAAAATGTACAGAACCTTGCACCCATTTTTGGAGAGGTTGTTTATGTGACTCAAACTCACAGCACTAGCCACCAGGATGCTAACGGCAAGCCTTTATCATTGGGCAAGCCTCCGTTTCAACTATGTAATAGAATAAAGTGAGACAAAAAGATTAATATTTATAAAAAAAATAAAAATAAATAAAATAAATAAAAAGCAAAACAAAACAAAACAAAACAAAAGAGAAAGAGAAAGAGAAATCCCAACAAAAATTAATCCTTACTATAATTTGCTAGAACCATCTGACAAAACTACAAGCTATGCAAAGATTGAAAAGTTGAACTATGCAGAGTATTTCACCACGACATCCATGAATGATACGGCTAACATAGATAATCTTATGGTGTAACTTCTGAGTTAGAAAGCATCATAACATTAAGATCACCTTCAGCAATAACATGATTATTTGCGTACAGAAGGACACAACATTTTTACTGTTTACAGTGTTTGTTTAGAACTTTGAACAGAAGATGCACTGAATGGATGCATGTACTCATGTAGAACTGGAAATCACAAATCTAACATTTTGAACCAAAAAGAAAAAAAGGAAAAGACTAATTGATGTAGTGGACCTATGTATATTGGCTTATTACATGGGCAATAGCATTAGATACAAATATGCACTAAGGCGTGGGACATCCCTAACTGCCAAATTGTAGGCTATAGGAATACGTATCCAAAAGTTAGGTATGGTTGCTGGGATGGTCTTGCACATTTGAATGTATTGTATTTAGGAATTTATCTACAGAAGGGAATTTCTATCTCCCTATCCGTGTGCATAGCAAGAAAACTAGCAATGGGGGTGTTTGGGAACTTGGAACTAAAAGGAACCAAATATGTTCTTACCACATCAAAACAGGAACCCTAAAAGGGTAGAGAAGTAGCCAAAAAACTCAGCGTATCACAAAATAATGCTACCGAACACACCAGCAGCCCCAAAACAAGTAAACATCACAAAGTTTGTTTACCACATCAACAAACTAGCGGTCAACACAAGGAAGAGGGAAAAAGACCTTTATAACCAAAAAAAAAATGTGAAGTGAGAAAGCACTCTATAGAGAAACATGGCTAGGGTATGATAGGCTCTAATACCAAGTTGAATTTTGTAATAACGCAATAAGGAATATGGAGAAATAATAGAGACAGAAAAGAGAGAAGCGAGAACACAAAGGTTTAACGTGGTTCCACCAATATTAGCCTACATCCACACACAAAGCCCTAGGGGGCTACAGCTTTCATTCACACAACTTCATTGTTTACATGATACACCATATATATAGAGTAGGAGATACAATCAAATCCTTTCAATTAAAGAAATTGAAATAATCAATGATACAAAAGAATCATAATATGCACAAATCATGGGATCTCCATATATTCTAATATTTTCCAAATCTTTATCTTTTGATATTTTTGACAATATAATCTTATTTCCAACAATGTACAAGATGAATTTGAAATTTAGTACTTTCAAACTATAATTTTCAATTTTTATATTGTGATGTTGAGATGGAGGTGGAGGTGAAGGTGAAGGTGAAGGTGAAGGTGGAGGTGGCGGTGGCAATGACGATGGCGCTAATGGAAATAGTGGTGGAGATAGAGGGATAGTGGTTGTGGTGATAGTGGAGGGGCAATGTGGTTAAGGTAAAAAAGAGTTGGCGGTGGTAGTGTAATAATAACAGTGGTGATTGAGGTGGTAGAATAATGGTGGTGGTTAAGGTAACAGTGGCAATGGTTGTGAAGGTGAACGGTTGTAGCAGTTGTTATAGTAATAGTGGAGAGGTAGTGGTAACGGCAGTGGTGACTGTAGTAGTGGTAGTGAAATGATGGTGGTGCCTATAACAGCAATCACCATTCTATGACAACAATCACAATAGTGATGGATGTTGTGGCGGTGGCGGTGGAGGGGCGGTGGCAGTGATGATGGCAATAGTTGTAGTTGTGATGTGACGGTGGCGGTGGTAGTGGTGGCGGATGTAGCAGTAGTGATGGCAGCAATGGTGAGGTTATAACTGTGTATGTCGAGAGAGGGCAAAATGCATGGCAGCAGTGGTGAGTCATGAGGCTCCCACAAGAGCAAGTTTAGAGAAGGCAAAATGTACAGAACCTTGCACCCATTTTTGGAGAGGTTGTTTATGTGACTCAAACTCACAGCACTAGCCACCAGGATGCTAACGGCAAGCCTTTATCATTGGGCAAGCCTCCGTTTCAACTATGTAATAGAATAAAGTGAGACAAAAAGATTAATATTTATAAAAAAAATAAAAATAAATAAATAAAATAAAAAGCAAAACAAAACAAAAGAGAAAGAGAAAGAGAAATCCCAACAAAAATTAATCCTTTACTATAATTTCCTAGAACCATCGGACAAAACTACAAGCTATGCAAAGATTGAAAAGTTGAACTATGCAGAGTATTTCACCACGACATCCATGAATGATACGGCTAACATAGATAATCTTATGGTGTAACTTCTGAGTTAGAAAGCATCATAACATTAAGATCACCTTCAGCAATAACATGATTATTTGCGTACAGAAGGACACAACATTTTTACTGTTTACAGTGTTTGTTTAGAACTTTGAACAGAAGATGCACTGAATGGATGCATGTACTCATGTAGAACTGGAAATCACAAATCTAACATTTTGAACCAAAAAGAAAAAAAGGAAAAGACTAATTGATGTAGTGGACCTATGTATATTGGCTTATTACATGGGCAATAGCATTAGATACAAATATGCACTAAGGCGTGGGACATCCCTAACTGCCAAATTGTAGGCTATAGGAATACGTATCCAAAAGTTAGGTATGGTTGCTGGGATGGTCTTGCACATTTGAATGTATTGTATTTAGGAATTTATCTACAGAAGGGAATTTCTATCTCCCTATCCGTGTGCATAGCAAGAAAACTAGCAATGGGGGTGTTTGGGAACTTGGCTTTTAGGTTTTTTTTTTTTTTTTTCACTACAAGACAAATGTTTTACAAAACCAAAAAAAAACAAATCTAAACAAAATATCACATCAAACACCATAATCATTTCATTTTTTCCCTCACAAACATCACATCCAACCACAAAAAAACCCAACTATCTTCCCAAACACAAAAAAAAATTTCTCCAATAATATCCTACAACTAAAAAAACCTACAAAAAAAACCCACTTCCCAAACACCCACAATATGAGCTTCTTCTTCAATGATCATCAAGTATTGGTGATCCAAATCTCCAATTGGGGTATATGGGGTCAAACACAGCACAGAGCTAGCATTCTAACCTGAGGGAGGGGGGAAAGTGAAGTAAATGGTATCGAGAACAAAGTTTAGCATTGTTTTGTTCAAAAAAATAATAATAATAAAATCATCATTTCAAACAAATCTCGTCCTCAACTGAACCAGACAAAGATCGAGACCAGCGATGAAGGCAAATGGACCAACGATGAAGACAAAGATAGAGACCAGCGATGAAGGACCACAGACTAGAGCGATGAAGGACTACAGATCAGTGAGATACCCAACCTAGGTCTTCAAATGGACCAGAGACCAGTGACGAAGGACCACAGACCAGCGATGACGGCTTCCTAGGGTTTCGATTGAACCAGAACCAACTGCTTCGGTGATGACCTACGAATGCGACAGATCATCGAAGCCTTGCAACGAAGCCTTGCGAAGAACGACTGCGACAGGTATGCTAATGTTTGAAACTTAGCTCTGATACCATGTTAACAGATGACAAAACTTGTATTCATTGATTAATCAAAAGAAGTACAAAAATATATAAGTAATAGAATGAAACCCTAATAACCTAAAGTACTAAACTGAAGTACTAAACTATCCTTAATGAATACCTAAAGTACTAAACTGAAGTACTAAACTATCCTTAATGAATAATATAAACTACAATTCACACACATAATACTGTACACTAGTACTAGGAACCTCAAATAGCCTACACATTATCCTCTTGCGCATAAGATTGGCCTCAAGGTGATTGCAAAACCAACCGTTGTCCATTGGGAAACCGTATCCTCATAAAAAAGAGTTAATAAAATATTAGCATATCAACAAATCTACGTCACAAGAGCAATATCTATGGAAAGGGAACCGCAGCATAGGGTTAAACTGCTGGCTTAAATAATTATTTATGAGAATACTGTCTTCAGTTCCACACATGTCAATAAGGGAGAGAGAACCTTTAGGCTTTTCAGGACTTTTTGATGCATTGATTGTTAAGGCCAAATCTGAAGGTGAATTAAATTACTTAGGGACAAATATTAGCATACCAAACAAATCTGCATTACAGGAGCTATATCCATGGAAGGGGAACTGCAGCTTAGGGTTAAATTATGGTTCAAATAATCATTTATTAGAATACTGTCTTCAGTTCCACAAGTCAATAAGAGAGAGAACCTTTAGGCTTCTGAGGACTTTCGGGTGTTAAGGGTGAATTAAATTCCTTCGGGGCAAAAGGTGAGGTAGTGACTTTAGCTTCCACTTCTCTTTGTTTATCTAGGAACCAACTTTGCACCTACATCACGAACAAGGGCAATTCAAGGGTTATTATAAGTTACAGAACAAATAATTTGCATGGGAAAAGAAAGAAATCAAGAGACAAAGAAGAACCTGTTCCCATCCTATAGCAGATTTTCCAGTTCGATGTTTCGAGCAACTGCATAAAATTGGGCATGCCAGAGATAAACAAAGTCAATGTTTAGACAATCTTTTTTTATATGGATCCATGGTTAATATACGATGTACCGAGAATGGATTTACTTAAAACTGGCTACAAGCTCTTGACAAAAATCTTGACTCAAGGACTTTTCTCCCACTTCCTTAAATTTGCCCTCCATTTCCATAATCTATCAAAGAAATCGAATATCAGTCAGTTCACCACAAAATGTGAAACAAACACAAATAAGCTAATTTGATTGTACGAGAAATAGCAATGCACAAATCAGGTTAGAAGAAAGCCTTTATCCCAACATGGGTTGGCTATTGGAAACATTCAGTCTTTAATCCCAAGTCAGAGCACTGTAATTGAAGATCATGCCAATTAGCAAGGTTAGTAGGAACTTGGCAACTGCATTGTCAATCATCATGCAATAAATCTGTATATATATTAAAATATAAAACAAAAATAAAAAGTCAATGCATCTGAAATTTTGAGATTTAGGAGTGAAACTACTACTGGTTAATTCATGGTGCCATGTAAAAGAATCTTCCCATCCTCAATGGCAAATATAATTATTGTTACATTGCCTTTGCATTTCATTCCTATTAGTTTTATTCTTAGTTAAAGACTAATCGAACCCTGGTTGTTATTTGTTTTTTGAGCACTATGCTTCATTGTAGCTTTTATTTGTCCAACAGGCAGCTCACAATGAGACCAATATAATCAAATCCTACAGCTGAATATAATCTACCAGATTTCCCCATTTTACAGGGCAAGTCAACCCTGAAACACTAGCATGTTTTCCCAACTAGTCTCTCATGTGGCACTCACCATCCAGCTCCACATTGTCCTTTTGAATGGTCTTGGGTTGTCTATTGGATGTGTGATATTAGATTCAAATTGATCTTTACTTCGCTATTTCTACAGGTGTTATTGTACCTTTTTCAATGCTTTGTTGTTATTCCTAGATGGCTTTTGTTAGGTTGTTCTTTTGCTTCTTTTTTCTCTCTCTCTCTTCTAATCTTATGCTTATGTAAATTGCTAGATTCTCATGTTTTATTTGAGTACTAAGAATTCAAAAAATGTTTATGTTATTATCTATAGATGAATCATCAACAAAATGCATATTCACCAACTTGATGACTGATGGCACCAACTACGAATTTGTAGATAAACCTCTTGACCGGGGGGACAATCTTCTACAATCTCCCCTCAAATAGACACCACCAAGGAATCACGAGGCGGCAACTTCACTATATAAGAAGACACTATGATCATATCGGCTTGGCTCAACATTAGCTTAGATCCAGTGCAAGGGAATGAACAAATATCAAAGGCAATTGGCTAAGAGTGTGGAAGTATATTCACCAGTACAAAACCTTTTCATCTACTCGTACTCGAACTTCTCTAATGAATCGTTTGTGGGTGCTTTCCCCAAATCCAAAAGTTGAATCAAAGTGGTCTTACTGAAAAAGACAAGGCATCAATGCCATCAATTTTTTTATACTTATTAGCATAGTCCTTGTTTGATTACATGATAATTAGTGTTCTATTTTCTATTTTAAATTTGTGATGCAAAGAAATTGTACAACAAATTGTATAAATCATCGTTTCCATTTGAACATTGTTGGCATGACTTAAGAGACCAACCAAAATGGCGAGAGGAATATAGCATGAAGCAAAAAAAAGTAGCGACGTGTGGCATCTATTCTCCTACACTGAATTTGATTAATTTAGGAAACAACGATGCCTCACATGATAACTATGTAGACTTGGAAAGACCACCGGGTGGGAAGGCTGAAAAGGATCGTTTGAACAAAAGAAAGAGAAAAGATCGTGGAAATGATTAAGGAAGGTCGCTTATTTTGATATTGTTAGAAGGGTTATAGGAAGATAAAAATAAAATGAATGAGGGGCAAATAGAAATGTATGAAAGGTCCTTGTCCTCCACACTGTCTTTTTTAATAAATTTCGTTGTTGATTTTCAAAAATAAATAAATAAATAAATAAAAATGTATGAAAGGTCCTATTAGCAAGAGCAAGAAAAGAATGATAATGAGAAAGAAAATAAGCAAATGGAACAATTAAAGGAGGAAGAGAGAATAAAGTCTATAGATACGAGTGTGATGCTTCCATTGCAAGCCGAATACATTAATCACCACCAAATGGAAATTCTCCAAAAAGAAATTTAATTAGAGAAAATTTCATTTTGCCCCCCAAACTATCATTTAAAAATCAATTCAACTCTTAATCTTTTAGTAATATTAAATTTACACCTAAACTATTTGATTTTGGATCAATTTTACCCCTGCTATTAGCTGCCGTTTATAATCAATCAAACGGAAGTTGTTGATGCAGCATTGAAATTTTGTTTAAAACTTTATTTTACCCCCTAAACTATCTTTAAAATATCAATTAGACCCTCAAACTTCAAATTTTTTTTATTTTTTATTGGCATTGGGGTGTCCGGATCAAAGTCCAACTAATCCCCAAGATAGCACAGATCCTTGGCAAGAAGTTTCCCGCAAGTACATAACATCTCGATTAATTAAAGGGTCTTCCCTAGTCCAATGGCCCCAAGGAATTGTTAGCACCTAAGAGATTTAGATCCCTAAACCTTGGAGAGAGCACACCTCCAAAACCTATAACCTTGTCACCAAGCCAACCCCTTGGGGTTGACCCCCAAACTTCATTTTATTTAGGGGTCTAATTGATTTTTTGAGGATAGTTTGTGGAGTAAAATGAAATATTAAATGAAGTTTCGGTGCCACATCATTAACTTCTGTTTGATTAGAGACGGCAATTGACAATGGAGGTAAAATTGATGCAAAATCAAAGAATTTAGGAGTAAAATTGATATTATTAAAAGAATAGGGGTTGAATTGATTTTTGAGTAATAGTTTGGGGGGTAAAATGAAATTTGTTCACTTAGTTATTGTTTGAACTATGCTTTTAACTTATTTTGTTGGTGGATTTAATTCCCCCTTGCAAGCAAAACTTCATTTTTATTTAGTTTATTTTGGAACTAGTTATTGTTTGTTTGAACTATGTTGGAACTACTTAATGTTGAAATGAATGAATGTTTGAATTACTAATAGTTTAATTACAAGGCTGAATGCTTGATGAAGTGCTAGCTATTTACAGGGTTTCAACTATGGTACTCTCTATCTTTCCCCCCTCTTTTTGCTTGCTAAACTACTTAATTACTTGTAGTGTTAATTTGTGTACATTCAATTCTTAATTTGACAAATTATTGAAGATCTTACATTGTTATATTTTTTTGTTTTTGTTTTTGTTTTTTTTTTTTTTTTTTTTTTTTTTTTTTTTTTTTTTTTTTTTTTTCTCCAAGTCATTTCACAAATTTTGCATGTTTGTATATATTCATATACTATATACTTAATAAAACAATAATTGAAAATTATTTTAAAATATATTTTCAAAATAAGTTACAAAATATTATTATACATGCCACTTCTGCAACTATGTCAGCAGTAATATGTGGTGTTTTTTGTTTTGAAAATTGGTTAAGTTAGTTTAAATGACTAGTTGAAATAGAGAGTTAAACACACTAGCTAAAGTAATTACGTAAAATAAAGAACCTACCTTTTTTGTAGTTCAGCAAGTGAAAAATGAAGAGTGTGGTTGGAGTTGCTCTAAATGGGTGTTCAAGCTCAAGAAAAACTTTGAGAGGACTACTGCTGGACACAAGGCTAGGCTTGTTGCTAAAGGCTTCCTTTAGGAACATGGTGTTGATTTCCAAGATACATTCAGTCCTGTTGCCAAGCAGTCCGCAATCAGAATTCTACTTTGTTTGGCATTGCATCATCATTGGCCTATGAAGTAATTAGGCATCTCTAATGCCTTCCTTCATGCCAAATTGGAAGAAGAGGTTCATATAGTGCAACCTCCTGGCTTTGTTGATCCTACTCAACCTCATCATGTTTGCAAGCTTCATGAAGCTTTGTATGGACTTAAACAGGCCCCCAGGGCATGGTATTGTACTTTCTCATCTTTTCTCTCCTCTCAAGGGTTTGTTCATAGTCAGTGTGACACATCCTTGTTTGTTCACAAGTCAGGGTGTTTTGTTACTTATCTACTCATTTATGTTGATGACATCCTTCTTACTAGGAATAATCAATCTTATATTCAATCCTTATTGTCTCATATGCACACTGCCTTCTCCATGAAAGAGCTAGGAGATATTTCTTATTTTTTGGGCATCTCAGTACAACCCACTCCTCAAGGTTCCTATTTTCTTTACCAACAAAATTGTGCAGCTGAGATTCTTGTTAAAGCTAGCATGGTTGATTGTAACCTTGCTCTACTCCTGTGTCAAACAAGCCATCCTTGTCTCCAAGTGACTCTCTCCTCTATTCTCAGCCCTTTCTATACAGAAGCATTGCTGGAGCACTCCAGTATCTTACCATCTCTAGGCCTGAATTAGCCTTTGTTGTGAATCAGGCTTTGCCAGTTCATGCATTCTCCTACCATTGGTCATTTAACTGTTGTCAAAAGAATTCTTAGACATGTCAAAGGGTCTTTGTCCCATGGTCTTTCCCTCCACCCAGCTCTTTTCACTTGTAAGGTTACACAGATTCTAATTGGATTGGACATACATCAGACAGAAGATCTACTTCTGGTTATTGCATCTTCTTAGGATCAAATCTCATCTCCTGGTCTTCCAAAAAACAGTCTACAGTATCTAGGTCCATGGTTATCAGAATCCCGATCCGGATCTTACGATCCTACGATCTTACGATCCATGTGAGGGCAATCGATCCGGATCGTGTAAAAAACTCCTTATAGGTAGGATCTTTCGATCCTGGTAGTGGGATCTTATAGGATCGTGGAATCCCGACTTACGATCCTCGATCCGATTCTACGATCCGATCCTATAAACACCTCCAACGATCCAACGTAGGATCCCGATTTTAACAACCTTGTCTAGGTCCTCTACTGAGGCAGAGTATAGGTCTCTGGCTCACACTGCTGCTGAGCTCACATGGCTATAAATGCTGCTAGCTAACTTTTTGGTTCCTCTTCCTTCTCCTCCAATCCTTTGGTGTGATAATTTGTCTGCAACGTCTCTGGCTGTTAATCCTGTTTTTCATAGTCGATCCAAACACATTGAAGTGGATTGCCATTTTGTCAGAGAGAAGGTTGCAGCTCACAAACTGCTTCTCAAGTATGTTCCTACCACAGACCAAGTTGCTGATATCTTCACCAAACCCTTGTCCACTACCGGATTTCAGTTTCTCAAACACATGCTCTTGGTCTTTTCTTCCCCCATTCGCTTGAGGGGGGATGATAAGGTATTGCACCCAGCTTCAGCAGAAGCTACTGCAACAAAAGCAGCTGATAGGTCTAGCAAGAAAGTGCATCCAAACATTGTGTAGTGCTATTGTAGCTTAGTATATCTCATGTAACAAGAATTAGTTAAAGAGTCAGTTGTGTAGTTAGTTAGACGAGTGTACATGATGTATATAAGTATCTCTGATGTAAGACAATTCATCCAATCAAGAAATACAATTCAGATCTTGTTTCAAAGCTCCTCACAAGATTTTTTTGGGTGAAAGCTCGCAAGATTTTGTGTTTTCTATAAATATATTTATTGTAATGTCAAGATCCATCCTTCTCCTTGGTATAGTGGGTTGCCCCTTTTAATTTTTAACTACTTCTAATGATGTTATAAGATCTTACGATACACGACATAATAGGATACGCGATTCAAAAAAAATATAAGAACAATACACGATTCATACCCTGATTTGACAACTATGATTGCATACATTTATGTAAACAATATTGTACGTTTATTAATTAATGGCAGTATTGTGCGTTTATTAATTGTTGGCACACTATCTACGCAGAGCTCTCAAAAGCAGAAAAAGCATTAATAGTTCAAAAGGTCTCCCAACAAAGATTTCCGTGCATCATAAATCATGATTCCAAAAAGAAGCACGAGGTAGCTTTCTTAAATAGCCATTTAAGGACAGATATGGACACATGGCACAGATACAACACAATACAAAAACAGTGACACAACAATTCTAAAAAATTTAGGACACGACACAACAAGGATACAAAACAAATAAATAAATATTTTCACTCATGAAATATTCACGATTTCTTCGTTTTTTTTAATGTTGCAAATGTATTTAAATTTTATTATATCAAATAGTATACAATCATTTTTCATATATATACATATATATCAAAAAATAAGTATGGACAAAAATCCCTAACATCTTTTAAAAGAAATCTATTTACATTTAAGCTTTCGAATTCTCTAAATCAAAGGAGGAGGAATTCATAGGCCCCCAAATTATTTCATCAAGCTTGCAATGTTTTTCATGCATATCTAAGAGATAAATATTGTTTGTTTATGAGAAATTGAACATAGGGTGTGATTAGGTTATCACCCCTTTTATATTAATAATACGAAACTAACATAAGAAGCCTCAAGGCATAGCAAGGAAACTTACCTACAGCTAATGACAACTCATTACAGTAAATAAAACATAATACTAAATATATGATTCTAACACTCTCCCTCAAGCTGATAATAAAATGACTCTCATTCCCAACTTGTTAAGAGCATTATGAAATGGTTTATTCCCAACTCCCTTGATGAGAATATAGGAAGTTGTTCACCAGACTTCACAAAAGAAGTAGATATAGTGTTACTGGTGAATTTCTCCTTAATGAAGTGACAATCAATTTTCACATGTTTCGTTCGGTCATGTTGAACTAGATTGTGGGCAACCATATTGTCACAATGTAGGCGCATAGTGCCTGTCTGATGGATTCTCAGATCATTCTACAACTTGATCCACAATAGTTCATACACACCTTGTGTCATGACTCTAAATTCTGCCTTGGTACTAAATCTTGCTACCACATTTTGCTTTTTACTACTCCAAGTAACCAAATTGCCCCCAAAAATGGTACAATATCCCAATGTAGACGTCCCATCAGTGATTGATCATGCCCAATTAGCATCTGTTTATGCTTTCACTCTGCGATGATCATGTCTAGAGAAAAACAGCCCCTTTCCAAGAGAAGACTTCAAATATCTAAGGATTCTCATAACTTCTTCCAAGTGTGCCTCATGAGGATCATGAATGGACTAACCACACTAACAACATCGACAATGTCAGGATGAGAATGGGATAAATAAATGAGTTTTGCCCACTAGTTTTTTATATCTCCCCCTATCAACAATAGCTTCCCCAATATCATCACTTAGCTTTTGATTCGGCTCTAACAATATGTCACACACTCTACTTCCACGCATTCCAGTTTCTTTCAACAAGTCAATAACATACTTCCTTTGGCAGATGAAAATCTCATTCTTAGATTGGGAAACCTCAATACCCAGGAAATACTTCAAAGTTCCCAAGTCTTTTATTTCGAACTCTCTAGCCGAAGATTCCTTCAACCAGGGCATTTCCTCAACATCATCTCCAGTAAGCACTATGTCATCTACGTATACAATGAGCGTTGTAATTTTACCATGTGAGGAACGTTTAACAAACAAAAATGTGATTAGCTTGACTCTGCTTGAAGCCATATCTAAGCATTGCCTGAGTAAATCTCTTAAACCAAGTTCTTGGAGACTGTTTGAGTCCATACAAGGATTTTCGAAGCCTACACACCTAACCCTTTCTTTGAAGGTCTTCAAAGCCAAGAGGAATATCCATATACACCTCTTCTTCCATATCACCATGTAAGGAGGCATTTTTCACATTAAATTGGTAAAGAAGCCAATCTGGATTAGTTGTAAGAGAGAGAAGTATCCTGACTAAGTTCATCTTTGCAACCGGAGCAAATGTCTCTTGATAGTCAACTCCATAGGTCTAAGTAAAGCCCTTTGCCACAAGCCGAGCTTTATAACGCTCAATTAAACCACTCGCCTTGTGCTTCACGGTATACACCCACTTGCATTCAACAATTCATTTGCCCTTAGGTAACTCTGTCAATTCCCAAGTACCATTCTTACAAAGTGCTTTCATCTCTTCTATCATGACAAGTTTCCACTTAGAGGCGGCAAAAGCATCTTGAAACTGGTTAGAGATACTGACAAAGGAAATCTTTGATACGAGGGGAACAAATTAGAATAGGATACAAAGTTAGAGATAAGATACTGAGTGCAAGACCTCACACCCTTTCTTTTGGCAATAGGAATATCAAGATCTGTATTTTCAGGAAGAACAAGAATTTCAGAGTTATCAGAGTTACCTGTACTCTCATCAATAGAAGGAGACGGCAGTGGAAGATCAGAAGAAGCAGTCTCTTAGATCCAAGTAACCTCCTGTCTTTCTTTGTCCCTAACATAAACCTTCCCTTGCTCCTTGAATGTATTTAATTATGTATTCTCAATAGTTGGGTCACCATCTGGTTCACATGCCACATTCTCAACATTCGAAACCGAAACAACGGGTAATGATCTAGGAATCTTTTCACACCACAACTCTCCCTGAAGAGATGATGGAGAAACTGGAGAGGACAAGAAGTAAGATTGTGACTCGGAATGTGGTTTCCATAGAAACAAATCACTTATGAGACGGAGGATGATAACAATTATATTTATTGGATTTTAAAATAAATATTGATCAATTTTTGTAAATTTTTAAGTATAATCCAATACATTTCATATTTTTAAATCACTATAAACTGAGTTTTTTACATTTTATTTTAATAATTAATGACTTTATATGTCATAAATCCATATTACGCTTGTGGCAAAAAAAAAAATTTATTGGACTTGGATGTACAAAATTATTTTTTTAATTATTATACTTGTGGAAACATATGCAAATTTTAACTTGAATAGTTTTAAAAAATAAATTATACATGTCAATGTAATCATATAAAACATAAAAAATAAATTATAAATATTTTTTTTTCCGAGGAAGGGGGGGTTTGGATCACTTGAATATTCATTCTCTTTTTGAATAAATAAGAGCCTAAATATATATATATACATATATTTTTAATCAAGCCAAATAGATAATGACCACACTTATTATTATTTTCAAACAATATATAGATAAACACACACAAACAAAATGGTTGAGTACTAACAGCTGAAGCAGTTCGAAACCATTACATGACAGTGCATAGCGTAACAGGCCATTATGGCCGTTACGGCACTATTACGACTGCTACGACCGACACACCTGTGAATCTCAATCACACCGTAAAAGCGGCCGTAACGGGTGACGGTAACTACCACAACCGTTACATAACGGTGTTACATAACGATTGCGGCAGTTTTTTAAAACCTTGGTCACAGGCATATATAATCAACCACGAACCATAAAGGGAGCAATATAATCAGTCAAAGCTGAGGAATAGGGCCATATATTGACCCAAAAAAAAACAAAACAAAACAAAAGAGTAAGGGAAGTAAAACTTTAATCAAATCAGTACACCTAGGGTCTCAACAAAACAAAAAAACCTATAGTAATGTGGAGGATGAAGACAAACGAGTTTAATCAGGGCATGAGCTGATAGCACAAGACATTGTCGCAGCCTCTAGGATGAAAGCCAAAGCAGACGGGGTCTGAGGAGGTGCAACAAGGGCTAAAGAAGGTCTAGGGAGTTGCAATGAAGGCTCTACAGAGTCTGTGGAGATGCGACAAGGGCTGGAGAAGACTTGGAGAGGCTTCGTGAACCCTAACAGGACATGAATAGGTGCCGACAGCCCTAGCCTAAGGTTCGGCTGAGGCTGTGTGGCTACCGAAGATGATGGGTGACCTCCAAAAGTGAGTCGATAGGTGTTAAGGTTGATGTCGGGTGGTGGGTACTAGGATTGGAACCTTTGTTTATGAGAAATTGAACATAGGGTGTGATTAGGTTATCACCCCTTTTATATTAATAATACGAAACTTACATAAGAAGCCTCAAGGCATGATAAGAAAACTTACCTACAGCTATTGACAACTCATTACAGTAAATAAAACATAATAATAAAGTTGTGATTCTAACAAATATGTGTCCTTCAGGTGTCCAAAGCGTGTCATATTCAAAAAAAATTATATTTTAAAAAATAATAGGACACATTTGGACACGTATCTGGCACATGTTGAGGAGCATCCAACAAGTGTTGGTGCCTAACACGTGTCCAACATGAATACAAAATATTTTTAAAAGTGTTTGTGCTTCTTAGATAACCACATGACAGTTAGGAGGTACTAAATTTAAAAGGGCAGAAACAAAGCTGCGATCTAACTCTATGAACTAATGTTCAACCTCTATGCCAGCACCACTGAAGTTTCTTTCTGTTCCAAACATGGTACTTATGCATGATTCTTACTATTGCAAATCATCCAGAAGTCAAACAGAATGTTGGCAATATCTAAAAATTAAAGAAAGGTATGTACATGGGTGGGAAAAAGTTATACAAACTAACAAAACTTGGAATTTTTTTTTATTCACAAATGAGACATTAAGTAAAGGAATTTTGGTATTTAAAACAGGACCAACTAGAATAGTATGAGATGGGCAACTCATATGACTTATAAAAAAAATTATAAAATTAATGAAATATATATAATAGAGCACAGTTATAAGAGAAATACTAGAGACCCACACTTTTAAATCCACAAATTCACTCACAATGATGTGGCTAGAGAGTTGGGCCATATATCATTGAGTGTATAACAAATTAAAAATTGTCCCTTATCATACCACATCATTATGGGTCAAACTATGGGGAGCTTTTTGGGGGTCTCAAACATTTTCCCAATTGTAAATAGATCACAATTTATATTGCTTGACCACTCTAGGGGTAATTCTATGTGCACACCACACTTTATCTCAATAGACATCATTTATGTTATTTGGATATCAACTTTTTTTTATATTAAATACATGGCCATTAAGACCGACACACAGGTGGGAAGATTCGAAGCATAGACCTCTTAGTAAGGTGCAGCAATTCTGGCCAATTAGACTAGCCCTGTTGGTTATTCAAATAAGCTATTGAATACGACTGCTGTTTGAACAATTGATTTTTGTTCGGAATTTGGTATCCAAAGAATTTAATTTTGTTCAAAAATAGATATATGAACGTCATAATGATGTATACTTAGATAAAGTGTGGTGTGCGAATAGGGCTTTCAAACACCAGTTTCACATTTAGTAGTGCATTACTGATATAGCCTCCGAAATATAACTGAACCACAAGCATTAATTCAAAAGGCAGCCAATTAAAGAAAGACCATAAGATTAACCATTAGCTCAGCAAAATAATAACAATCACATGACAGGAAAACCAAGAACAACAAGAGATAAGAGGCATTTTCAGAAGATAGTTAAATGATCAAAATGATACACAAAGACACACAGATTCCAGAGCTAATCCAAGCAAATTTGTAAAATTTAAAGCTGATTAAAGTTCCAAAAAAAGGTAAGGAGCTAAATATACCTCAGCTAGCGTAAACTCAGGTAGATCATCATCCATTTCTGTATACTCAAACGTATCCATACTCTAGGCACACACACACAGAGAGAGAGAGAGAGAGAGAGAGAGAGAGAGAGACAGAGAGAGAGCGAGCGAGCGAGAGCCTCTCGGGGTTTTGCCTTCGAGAGGTGGATAAGGAAGAAACCGGATCCTCGAAGGATGGAGAGCTTTTGCTTTGCTGGGCGAAGCCTGAAGTCTCTGAAGTGACGTAGGTAGTGTGGAGTACGCATCAAATTCAGGTTTATATAGTGGGTGTCCGGGAAGATGCTATTAGATATTTTAGTTTTCGCTATTTTACTAGTTTAAAATTTTTGGTTGGATTAGTTTAAAATTTTTGGTTGGATTTGACAGGGTTTTGTAAATATAATGACAGGGTTTTGTAAATATAATTGGAGAGTATGAGTTGTATTTTGAGTTTGTGGGTTATGAAATTATGATTTGAATATAGAAAATTTGTTTGGTTATGATTGTTGAATTGAGTTTTGAATTGTACGTGAAATTGAGTTTTAAAAGTTTGATTTGACATATGAGTAAGAAAATTTGTTTGGTTATAAGTTTTAGAAAGAGTTTTCAAAACTTAATTCAAATTATTATAACTCATAACAAAATACACTACTTTCACACTATTAAAAATTATAATCAACACTCATAACTAAACTCTTTTTAAAATTTAATTAAAAAAATTTATTATTAACAGAAAATAACATTAATCAATTTTATAATTGAAAATACTACAAAGGAAATAATTTCTTTTTTCAAAAAAAAGATTCAAAAAATTTAAATCATAAATATTTAAATAATTTAAATAATCTAAAAAATTTAATAAGTAAAAAATTAAAATAAATATTCAAAAAATTTAAATTGTAAAAAATTAAATAATTTAAAATGTTAATATTTTAAATTTAAAAATAACTCTACACTCAAATCGTAACCAAACAAATTAAACAAAACTCAATTAAGAAATTATTTTTAAAACTTATAACCAAACACATAACTCGAAACTCCATACTTCTTTCACAACTCTACACTCAAATCGTAACCGAATACATAACAAAAAAATTAAAATATTTAAAAATATTTTTATAAAATAGAGTTTGAATTTATTTTTATAAAATATTTTAAAATTTAAAAAATTAAAATCGTAATATTTAAAAATTAAAATATTTAAAAATTAAAAAAATTGTAACATATTTAAATATTAAAATATTTAAAATCTTAACAAAATTAAAATATTGATTTGAATTGAGTTTTGAAAATAGTTTTGAATTATGTGTTTGGTTATGAGTTTTGAAAAGTAATGATTATGTTTTGAATTGAGTTTTGAGAAATGAGTTTTGAGAAATAAGTGTAGAATTATGATTTGAAAATTCAAAACAAACACCACATTCAAATCAATTGGTGGAACTATAATTTGAGAGGCTTACCAAACAGAGCCTTTGTGTTTGGGAATATAATTAATTTTTTTGTAATTAGATGTAATGTTTTATGAGAGAAAAAGTGAAATATTTATGAATTTAATATGATATTTTGTCTTATTAACTATTTTAATCTATTTTATCTTTTTGTAAATTTTAGTCTAAAAAGTTAAAAATAGCCTTTGCCGAGCACCCTCATGTGGGAATAGGCTATTTTAGTTTTTTGTTTTTTACTAAAATATGAGTTTGAAAAAATAGACTTCTCTCATGTTCGTAAAGTGGATTGAACGGTATTATTAGGTCCGTAGAATTTATTACAAATCATATTTTGATTAACTAAATCATTTGATATATAAAATTTGTTGAGTACTTTTTCCCTGTAAAAAATCACGTTAATTGGATATCGATAACTCCTTAATCAAAATATATTTTTATCAATAATTTATTTTTTTAAATCATATTTACCATTGAAAAAATATGATCCAACCAAAGGGTTATCGATATATGATTAATGTGATTTTTTGTAAGTATAAAATAACAAACGAGTTCTACACATTGAACAGTTTAGATCATCGAAATGGGACCTGTGATAAGCCCCAAAGGCCCAACAGTACTATCCATTCAACTTTGTGGACTGGTGAAAAGCATCGTCTTTAAAAAACTTAATATGTTTGGAATGATTTTTTAGCTTTTATGAAAAAACATGTAGAAAGTAGAGAAAAAATAAAATTTTTAATTTTTTTTTTTGTATAGTTCTTTGATTTTTTAAATTTTTTAGTATTTTTTGACATTTTGATTTTTTTAGTTGGAAAATGCTTTGGTGTGCAACGCACACTGTATACAATTCTGACACAAAATACCTAAGTTTTCACCAATTTACATAAAGAGATATCACAAAAATTTATAAATTAAACACAAATTTATATAAGTTCATGAAAACTGTACGGGTGATTTTCCGACCACACTACCCGCTTAGTAACCAGCTGGAGAGCACTGGCAGAATAGATGGCACCTGACTGACCTGTAACAGAAATATAAGAATCCCGCGGTGGTTTCGACCACCCGGGGGCACTCCGACGATCAAGTCAATATATCTCTCAAAGATAAATCAAGTACTAAACTCACAAGCTTGAGTATCAAAAGCATACCTTAGACCCATGGGGGTGCCTCTCTTTTATAGCCAATACAATCCTAGTCCCAAAAGGAGCCTGGCCCTAATGGACTTAGGATTACTGCTAATCTGGGACTCCCAATGGGATTAGGATAAACTCTCTAAGAGTCTTATCTTTACCCAAACTGAAGTCTTCTCCCAATCTAGGACTCTTGTCCATATCCAAATTGAGTTCCCTCTTCATTATAGGACTCTTGTCCCTTATCCGCTTATTTCGGATTCCGATACCTTCGGAGGCAACCTCGGCCTAGCCGAGATGACCTCGGCACAACGACCAAGACACGTGGCACCTCGGCTGACACGTCAGCATCACCTTGCCACGTGTTGGTACTCAGAAAATATATCCCCACAACTGCCCCCTAGGTTCTATTACCTCGGCTTTCTGAGGTGATGGAACCTACACTGTTCGTTCATCTGTGCCCCTCTATCCGAGATCAAACTCGCTGACCTCAAAGTTCTCTGGACTTTTACTGTCCACTGTGAGGTGTCAAGAATTCAACGTTTCATGCTTTCCAAGCATGCTTGAAATCTCGCACCTCCGTAGTCTGAGGCTGTTCCATAATTCGGCTAAAACTCTAAAGAGCTTTGCAACTGCTCTCCATCCACCTCACTCTCTGGTGAGTTCCTGATTTCCAGTCATCTATTTGACTCCGGCGATTTTCATATCGGCGTTCATTTCACTTTGTAGGTTCATAAACTCTTTACTTGCTATTAAGCTTAATCTTTCATAACTCTTTTGATTTACTTTGAATCTGTTTATTTGCTCTCTGTTGTCTTCTATTTTCGTCTGTCTTCAAGTTTTGAATTGTTTAAATGCCTAGTACTGTTCTTGTCATATCCGCTTTCTGTTGCTTAGCATTACTTTCTTGTTATTCACATACTTACTTAGTGCCTGTACACTTGGCTTTATTCTTTGAACTTTGTCGTCTTCTTGACTATTTTTCTCTTTTCTCATTTAATCCTCTGGCTTCTTCTCTTTCAAGCTCTTTTGCTTAAATCCGCCATTTGTTCCAAGCTTTCAAACTTCTGCAACTGTCTTCGTTTCTCTCCTCCGGTGAAGCTTTACGTCATTCTGTCATTGTCGTCAGACTTCGGCGATTCTCATTCCGGCTTCCTTCTTTCTGGTAAGCCACTGTTCCTCATGGTTTTATTTCTTGTTGCTTTCCAAGAAGCTCTGCTTCATTGTTAATCACCATTGTTGTTTTACCCGTTGTTTCCAAATCATCTTCTTGAATACATACTGTTCACACATCTGTTGATTTCTACCACTGTTCTTGGCTTGACACACTTGTGCAATCTTTTGTCTTGATTTCTTGATAGCTTCATCACCATTCTTGATTACGAATTATATTCTTGTTTCTGTTTTCTGTGTCTTTTTCCAGATTCTTGCTTTCAATCTTTGCCTTCAAACTCTAAGGTGCCAATCGCCAAGAAGAGCTTTGATCAAACTCTTCAGGAGGTTGATGCTGAGCTCGTGGCTGAGAAGGCTGCTGAGAAGTTCTTTCCAACTGTCTTCTGGGGGTGAGACACAACCTACCGCTGATGCCGAGTAGTTTGCTTCCTTCTTGAAATTGATGCCGAAGTAGCGGTAGAGAAGCTCCTCCAACTGACTGCCGAGGCTTGAACCATTGTCGTCCGTCGAAACAGATTAGTCCGACGTTCTCACTACCACCCCCACTCTCACCCCCACCACCACCCCCACCTTCATTCCTCCACCACCACCATCACTACCACCACCACCAAACATAAAACAATATCCGAAAAGTATTTTCTGAAAAAAAAAAATTTCCGATTTGTTTTTATCCAAACAAACAAAGCCTAGTTGTTCCAAAAACAAGCCTCAATCTTGATATAATTTTGCGATGGGCTGCTATGAACGTTAGTCCAACAAGTCAAGTCAAGCCTGGGCCACAAGATTCAGCACACTGGCCCGTTTCGTTTTAAAAACTGGGCCCACTGTGTGTGGTATTAGTTTGGACCAAACTATTTTTTGTATTGAGTCCTGTTTGTGTTGTGTTATTTTATGTCTATGGCAAATTATGGGCTGCTATGAACGTCAGTCCAACAAGTCAAGTCTAGCCTGGGCCACAAGATTCAATACATTGGCCCGTTTCGTTTTAAAAACTGGGCCCACTGTGTGGGATATTAATAGGGGTGGACAACGGTTTATCCGAACCACTCAAACCGCCCAACCCGCATATAAATGGACAGTTTCGCAAACATAATGCAGGCGGATGTGGTTTGAAATATGTCAAATTTGTTGGTCGCGGGCGGGTCGTGGGTTAAACCCGCAACCAGCAAAAACTGCCCGCACTTTAATTATTATTACTTTTTTTTTAATATACCAACTTTGTAACTTTAATCGGAGCACCATTATGTTCTCTATGACACTATCCTTATTTTTAAGTATTTCTCAACTTCTTAATGTCGTAGAATTATCAAGTCCTAAACTTGGTTTCTTATATGATTTTCATTGGTGACTCATCTACTTTTTCCTAATAAAATTTTCCTTCGGGTGGTCGATGGAACTTC